TCAAGTCAGTTAAGCATCCGACTTTGGCCCAGGTCATGATTGCCTGGTTTGTGGGTTTGAGCCCCGTGTCAGGCTCTGTGCTGACAGCTCAGTGCCTGGACCCTGCTTCAGATTCTGTGTCTCCCTCTCTCTGCCCCCTCCCCTGATTGCACTCTGTCTCTCTCTCTCTCAAAAATAAGTAAACATTAAAAAAAAAAATTTTTTTTTTAAGTAAAAAAGACCTGTGTGACACAAGGTGGGGAGTTTGAGTATAAACAGTATCAGATGATATTAAGGAGTTATTGACACTTTTGTTAGGGAGATGTAATGGCCCGATGGTTAGGTAAAAATGTCCCAATTGTTTGGAAATGCAAACAGAAGCATCTACAGTATATTGCCACAGTGTTTGGAATTTGCTTTATAAATACTCTTGTAAGGAAATCATGAGGATAGGAGAAACTCGGTGGCAAAATGTCGATAATGGTTAAAGCTGGGTGGTGAACACCATCAGAGTTATGACTATTTTGTGTATTTGAGATTTTCTGTGATAAAATGTAAAATGGTCATGTGATATTTCTCACTGGCTGTGACATTGGGCAAGCCACTTACTTGGTCTTGGCCTTGATCCTTGATCTGCTCACCTATAAAACTGGGATCATATCATTTATTGTGAAGTTTAAAAGAGATACAAATATTCATTTCCTAACTTTTTCAAACTCAGAAGAAATCAAATGGGCATCCGAAATAGCTTGTAGCGCGGCATGCGGGCAACCAGCAGAGAGTTATAGCCACTGTGTCCCGAGACAGAGACAAGCACAGGTTGTCGCGGGGGCGACGCCCCACCGGAGACCCGACCACCAGTTGGTCAAGGCCTGCCAGGAAGCCATGCCCTCTCCATCTGTATCCTGCCCCTTGGAATTTCCCTGAACAGCAGTCTGCCTGTGCTGCCACCTCGTGGCCACATTGGGAACTGCTCCAAAGGGAGCCTGGGTCATGCCTGGGAAGATGTCAGTTGGCCACTGCTCTTGAGATCCTGCTGAGTTAGTTCCCCCAGATCTTCAGTGCAAGTCCTCTCCATGGAGACGAAGCTGCTTGTATGGGAAGACTCTTGGGTCAGCCTGCAAAACACTTTTAGCAAAGGTCATGGGTGCCCCGGACAGCGATGCGGGAAAAGCAAGCCATACCGTGGGCGTGGCGCCCCCAACAAAGATGGGATGACGGTTAAGAAGGCGACCTCGGGAGAAGGTCTGGCAGACGGCCCAATAGCGTGTGGGCCATGGGTGTGATCCTCATAATAGTCGAGCGCCCGTGGGTGCCAGGCTCTGGGCAGATGTTCTTTTGGGTCAGCACACAATATGGTGAGGAGGACACGGAGCCCAGTCAGGTTAGGTGACCCGTTCAAGGTCACAGAGGCGGGAAAAGGCAGAGCTTTTGCATAGTTTTCTCAACTTTGGTATGACTGTCAGAGGCGAAGCCAGACCTGCATCCATGTTGGCTGACACAAGCTGCATTGTTTTTGTTATTATTATTATCATTCTCATTTTATTATTGTCCCTGAGCAGGGACACGGATTTTCATCCTTTTATCCAACTCTGAAATGAGCCAATAAAAAAAAAATATGGTAATGGTGTGTTAGGCGGAATTCTAAAGATGGGCCCAAGATCCCCACCCTACGGTTATCCAATCCGACACGAATCTAGATGCTTCTCTGAAGGCACTTGGCAGGCGTAATGGAAGGCCCGAGCCAGTCGGCCTTAATGGAGATTATCCGGCGGCCTTGGCCTCGGTGAGCCCTTCACAAGTGGAGAGTTTGCCCCAGCAGGCAACGTCACAGAGCTTTTCAAAGCATGAGAATGGGTCGGGTGGCTGCTTTGGAGATGGAGGGGACGAGTGAGAGACAAGGCAAGGGTGTGGCCTCTAGGAGCAGAGGAAGGCCCTCCGCTGTTGGCCAGCAAGGAAATGAGGACCTCGGATCTGCTGTTCAAGGAGCCACACTCCACCAGCAGCCTGAGGAGCCCCCCGAGAGCCCAGCCTGCCAGCACCTGTGGTTCCAAGGCCCAGAATGGAGACCCCAGCCCCGTGCACTGAGCCACAGCATAAGCCCGGGAGGCGGCCATACGTTTATTGTCTGGGCCTTCTTTGACCATGTTTTTTTAATGTTTGTTTTTTGAGAGAGAGAGAGAGAGCATGAGCAGGGGAGGGGCAGAGAGAGAGAGAGGGAGACACAGAATCCGAAGCAGGCTCTAGGCTGTTGGTCCTGTAGAAACAACTGCAACACGACAAAGGTTGGCAGGGCTGTGCCCGAGAAGTCCTGTGGTCTGTGGAGTCCCGGGAGGCGCCTGACCCACATAGGGCTTGTCCAGGAAGGCTTCCTGGAGGGGGCGGTGCCAGAGCCAAATCTTCAAGGATGAGTGACGCGCCCAAGCAAAAGGAATGGGGGTTCCCCCCACAGCACAAG